GGGATTTTTTGCTTATCTATACGGTTTGCACAGGACTTAGTTGATTGCAGCCTGATTAATCATGCAGCCTTATTATAATGAATATACCAGGGGGGTCCAAACTTTTTAGATAGAGGGCTGCGACGAAGCTGAAGGTGACTGAATGACACATGACCATCTCAACAGCTACATTAGTGCCATAAACAGAGTTGGTGAGACAATCAAAAACAAATGTCAGTATATCAAATAATGTAAACGGCTGAATTCAAGAAGTTCTGAGATTTGCTGAGTCTGAGTCCGTGTCTGTATTTGCTGAGCTGAAGTTGGCTGGATGACATTGTGAATGATGGCAGAGGGCCTTATGCGATGACATAGAGGGCTGCACTTGGACCACAGGCCTTAGCTTGGACATGCCTTATACATGCTCTAAGTACTGTGACTGAAAACATACACTATTTCACATGCAGCTAAACTCTGGAACAGTCTTCCTGAAAATGTGAGACAGGTCCCTTTCCTGACAATGTGCTGTGTATACAACTGAGGGATTTTATTTTTAATGCACTGAAATGTATGATTTTAAAGCCTTTTGTGATTGTGTGATTGTGATATTGTTATGTTCAGGACTTTGAGTTGCTTTGTGTATAAATTGTGCAATGCAAATAAACTTGCCTTGCCATTTAGAGTTTAAAAAAATGAAAGTAAGTGACTCATTTCACAAAAAGACAGATATAGTTCAATCATTGTCACATAATAATTCTTTAAACCTCCCAGCCCTCCTTCCTAATGCTAATTCTGAATATCTAATCTCTGTGTGAGTGTTTGCTCTTGTTCCCAGATTAGATTGATTGGAAGAGCCTCTCATGAACACGAGTCCTGCTGGGACCCAAACTACAGAGTCTAAACACTTAGCGGGAGCTGATGGGATAACCATGTTAATCAATGCCTAATACTACAGCGATGTACCAGCTCTCACTGTCAACACAGCGCGTGGAGACAGTGACTTTGTGCTCCGGATGCATTTGTTTGTTTCTTTTATTTGTGGAGGAATATTTCAGATCATTTAACCTTATAAAAAATGTAGACAGAAAAAAGTAACCTCTCCAGTGCTTACGTGTTAAATATGCTATAATGTGTGTGCTCATGATGAGGGTCATTTTTATTTTCATTTTAGAGAACCATGCAGTTGTATAAGCTTTTTGAGCGATTGTGTTATTTAAACATTGAAATTGTTGTTAAGATAAGACAAGAGTTCCTTTATTCGTCCCACAGTGGGGACATTTTGTTGTTGCAGCGCACATACACGACAGTAGTAAGAGCACACAGGGAGCACACATATAAAATAAGTAGTAGCTATGTTTCTTAATTAGCATAACTGGCTGTAGATGCTGGAAATGCTTCAATACCAGTCAAAAAATATATACATGTAGTAGTGCCGAGTTATGTACTGTACATATAGTGCAGGATGATAAGTAGATAAGTAAAGTGACATTGTTCAGTGGATATTCTGAAGTTATGTGACATTAATTTTAGATACTGTGCTCTTAGAATCAGCAGAAGGCAGCGTTTGAAGGAGATTTAGTCTTTTCCATTAGTTAGACTATAGGGGAGGAGTGATGCTGGAATAACTGTGGCCATTATCGAGTTTGAGAAAAGGCGTTGCATAAGGGTTTTGTTACACACTTCTGGATTTACTGCAGGTGTATTTTTCAAGCATGAAAATATCACGACATGCATTCTCACTCGGTCCACCGCCTTTTAACATTTCAAAGGCTGCTGGCAAAACTGCACTGGTGACCTCACCCCCTTCATGTCACCATATTCTCAAGCTCAGGAAGTAAAAGCGTTATCTTGTGCATTTAAACTGACATAAGGGAGTGTTAAGCTTGTGACCCTATTCTCCCGTCTATTGCAAAAGCTGAAGTTATAAACTCTTATCTTTCATAATCCCCTCTTTGCACATCACCCCTGTATAGCACCGTGTTCACCTTCAAATGACATGGCCCAATGCATCTCCCTGTGACATCATGTGATATACAACACGCCGCACTCACCTCTGTCTTTTAGATATGACTTTTATCTACAGTATTTTCTATCATAGTATCATTGTGAGGCTGTAATTGTTCGGACAAGCTAGGTTTAAAATAGAAACATAATTGTACGGTATATATAATGCAGCATACCCTTTTAAAAAAACACTGCTGTTATTGTTTTTCCTTTTTTAGCTTGATCTGTGCGTGTTTGAAGTGCTTATGATAGCTTCCTTTTCACAAAAAAACAGTCAAGATACAGTAATACATTTATAAAATGGTTGAAAACTTTATGTATTTTATTTTACGGGTTGTAAATGGTGAGATGATGGAGCAGGATGTTACCTAGCTATACCTGGGCCAAAACTCCTCCAAAGTACAATTAATATCTAATTGGACATAAGAAGAATATAATTAAAGTGTCAAATTTGCATTCAAAGAAAACATCCCTCTCGTACGATCCCCTTTATGTCCCCCTCCTTGTGAAGATGGAGATCATTTAATAAGTACATTTTTGTTGTTTTGTTTTCTGATTTATAAAGTCTAAATTGTCATATGCACCAATATCTCTAAAGCTGGCCATAGACTACAGGATTTTTAGCCCATCAGATTCTCAGAAAACAAAACCTCTGCCGCGCTGCCATAGCGACGCATGTGAAAGCTATAGCAAGATGACAATAACACTTTATATAAACAATATAGATTAATTAGCAGGAGAAACAGAAATTACAGAAAAGAACCATATTCACAGCAGTTCAACCATATGAGCTTTATTTCAAGTTTGGTATGCTGCGTTTTTGTTTATCCAGCTTTTACTGGCCAGAACAACGTTGAAACAAATAGCCAGGCATAAATGCAATGTATTGTGCACAACAGGTGTCACTGCCTCATATCTGCGTCCACATAACCACAGTGAAAAAGCAAAATAATGTTGAAGCAGCCAACACACACAATCACCAACGTTATTTGCCAAAGTTCACTTGCAGTAGATTGAGCCAACACATGTCTGTGGTCTGTGTCACCATTTAAAATCTTAGAAGACAAACACTTCTAGTCTGTATAAGCTTTAGGGCTCGACTCTGCCATGAAATGTTGTCCCCCATTTGGCTGCATTGCAATATGTATTCATGGTATATACCTACGTTGATAGACTAATGTTTCTTTCAATCTGGGCTACATTGATAATGTAAAACAAAAAAAGAAGGTCTGTAGGTCTGAGTCTGCACGTTGTTGTGATGGTCTGTGCACAGGGACAAGCACAACTCAACAGAAGTTTTCAAATCATAAGTCAGCATGATTTTCTCTTCTAAGGTGACTTTAGATTAATGTTGTTAAATTCATGTTAAATCTATGAAACCCGTGATTTATCATTAAATATTTACATATGTATTCTCAATATTGAGCTCAACCAAAGCAATGTCAGTGAAACACGATCACCTCAAAGGCGTTAGTCCATCATTGATCACGTTGCAATGTGGGCATATGAATGTCCTTCGGGAAATAATCACAAATTCAGAAAAGAAAATGTAAAAGAAAAAGTAAAACCCTGGGGGTGGGGTGTTAACAAAATTTCTTGTGTGTATATAAGGATATAAATAGAGTAGAATTAACTTCCTAGAGAGGCAAGTTGTCTTGAGAACAGTGCTGCAGAATTACTTAAACGATAAAAGCACAAAACATTCATTCATAAAAGACACCACAATAATAACAAAAACATGTATCAAAATGCTAAAATGTTGGAGGAATTGTGCGAAAAACAGCTTTGAGTGTGTAAATGGCAAGAGAAAACCACTACGATGTCCCATAATGACAAAATCACATCGTCTTTCAGGATTAACCGGAACCATAACCAGTATGAAATGTCTCATGATTTGAAAAGGTACACACAGAGTTGGTCGTCTTCATCGCGTCTGGAGTCACAGTGCGTCGCTGTCTCCGGAGCTGCGAGGGCTGATGTAATTTATGCTTTGTGCTCGGCGAGAGGAGAGAGGAGCAGCGGTGAAGCCAGCCCTCTTCACGCTGAGTGCTCCTTAGGGAGGCAGGACCGATCCAAGCTCACCTCCCTCTGTCTTTCACCACACCGCTGTACTCAAGGCACCCACCGCAAACCTCTCAGTTCTATTGAGCAATGGGCGTTGGTTGAAATAACAAGTTTCAATGGCAGAATGTGTGAGCAATTCTGAAAGCCAGTGCCATATCGACAAAGTAATAAGGTACACATCAGCATGATTAATGTAAATGATGATGACCTGAGACTTACTTTGGTGCTGTTACATTATAATGGCCCTTGGAATTGAATTTAAAACAAACAACACGTCTATTTGTGAGCTGTTCTAAACCATTGTTCGTTTTGTACAAAGCTGACTATCGCCAAAAAGAACTTTTAACGTGCGGCCTGTTTTCACTCAATAAAAGCAAAACAATTGTGTCACCATATAAACATGCAGAAATACTCAATGGAAAACATATAGTGCATGTTTAAAATAGTGTTGTTACAATTGCTACAAAAAAAAAGGCTCAATACCATTTTTAATTGATAATGTAATTTTTTATATGAAGCATTATTGTATTGATACTTCAGGGTATTCTACAATATCAACATTCAAAAAGGGTAACTAGTTTTAGTACCAAATTTTCAATACTTTTGGCTACTGTAACCAGAGCATATATTTCCATTCATCGACTGCTTTTGTACTTTGACACTGAATACAACTCATTGTGGATGTTTTGTGAAATTAAAAAAAAGTCAAAATCCTGCACAAACCAGTGGGTGTGTGCTGACAAAGACAACACATTTAGCTTTGCGATTACTCAGCTTTTTAGACTTTCAACATATTATTTTCCTCCAGAATATGGAAATGTGTTTTGTTTGTGCCCCTTGAGTCAAACAGTCAGCAGTTCCTCTGGGCACATCGGACTTTAGACACTCAGCACTAATCCGGGAACAGGAAACCCATTTCATCTCAAGTGTGGCCGTGTACTTGTGTGTTACAGGACTGCACTCCATTTCCATGACGACCGAGCGGGTTGTGGGTGCGGAGATGAGGAGTGCGATGGAGGCAGACACCAGGAGAGCCAATCAGGTGCGACCCCGGCAGCTGTACATCACTCAAGTCTCCCCATCATCCACTGCTTCCGCCTGGCTGTTTAATATGCACAAGCACTGCAGGCCTGGACCGCGCTCCAGAAGCAAATACTCAAAGAGAGAGCATCCACGAGTGCCCTCTGCCATAGCACAAATTCATACTGTAGATTGGCATTTTTTAGAACTAGAAACAAGTTCATTGATTAATTTATTTGAACTTTATAGACTTAATGAGAAGAGGGTTTGTATAATGGCCGCAGAATGAAGTGAAAATGTGTTTGTGTTGCAATCATATTTTAAGGTTTGTTGAATGTCTATTTGCATGTATTTATAAATTAGACTTTGATTTTGATTTTTGATGCATGCCTTTGTCTGTATTTTTGACTATTCCATTGCTTGTTTGCACCATATTTCAAAAAAGATTGCCAGTTTGTGATTTTCTCTTACTTACAATGAAAAATGAATTGGGTTTGGGATCAGAACAATTTACTGATTAATCAAAAGAATATTGGATTTCAGTCCTTTCAGTTATTATTATTTATGGGTATGTTGTAATATACTAAAAGGTGCACATACTTAGATTTAGATACATCGTCTGCCATCAGCTCTTCCCTTGAGTTATTGCATTGACAGGTTATTGCAGTAACCTTAGCTAACTTACATCACATACTCAATACAAAGTTCCTACTAGAAGTGGTAAAGAGCAGAAAAACATGACCTTGTGTGAAATACTTATTGATAATTCATCCATCTGTCTCTTGATAAGGAGCCTGGTTGTGGAATCTGCAGAGCCAGTGCCCAGTCCTCTCTGCCTTGCATGTTGATATTGAGGTTGTTTTTGTGTTTTGACCAGGTCCCCGAGGATCCTGACATGGATGATAGTTCGGAGAAAACCCCAAGCAAAGCTTCCAAATCTCCCCAGAAAAGCACCAAAAGACCCAAGACCGTGCGTGTCAAAATCACTTTACTGGATGGATCGGACTATGACACAGCAGTGGAGGTATGTCGTGTGGTATATATCACTGCAAATGTGTAAAATTATGTTCAGTTTTTATATCTGCTTTAATAATATTGGATAAAATGGAGGAGACAAATAACCCTCACCCTCTAAGACCTTAACACAGCTTCACTACTATTTTGAGTACAAGACTTAGTATTTGACTTTGCTTCTTCTTCTAATATTGTTCTTGTTACTTTAAAATCAAAAGGTTGCTTGATAATTATTGCACCATACGAATGCAAGTCTGTTCAAGGACTAATTAGTGCCCTTCCACTGCTCAGGAAAACCCCATAAACGGGTGGTGCAGAGTTTAACATGTTGACAGTGTCTGGGTTTTTGGCAGCTCCCGGCTTTCCACTGACAGCTGCTACTGTGGCTCTGTCGCATGTTCGTGAGTGTCGACCCCTCATTTATTTGGGGAAATAAAATCAAATATTGGAGAAAACATTGTGTCCAAGATGAAGATTTTTGTTGCTAACCGTTTGCTTTAACCCTAACCCTTGTTTATCTTTCAACTTTTAACCATTATGCACAACATTATTCCCCGATAAACTCTGGTCATATTTTGTACGAGCGTCTGGTTCTGATCCTAGTGGCTGCAGTAACCTCGTGGCTGTATCCCATTCAATCCCCTATTGCGAAGGCAATAGTAAAGTAATCCGTTCTGGTTCGCCTCCCAAATGTCAAGAAATTGAAGCCGGACAAGAGGAATGTTTAGGAAATGTCATTGCTGGCAAAGATTTTGTGGCGCTACTCCCCACGGGCTCCGTTAGTGGCGAAGGAGAGGGCTAAAGCTAAACGCTAAATGCTAGCGACTCATTCTGGTGCATTACATATGTCACGGTAAACTCAGATCCAATCGTTTCAATCTGCAAAAGAAGTTTGATGAAGCAAATCCAGACCTTAGTCCGAAAGGAAATTGTACAATGGTATGGTAAGACCAGACTATCTGTCCATGCTGATATCAGGAACTCTGCCCTTCCGTCTAAAACTTCCTGTCTTAGCGCGGTAATAGTATGTTGTTATTGTACCGCTAACAAATGATGCTAAGAGCACTTAACTGTCTTTTAAAACAAAAGTAATGGCCAACTACTATTACTACTATTACTAAATACTAGTTTTGGCAATTTGACAGTTGGAAAATTTTGTTTTTTGGAAAAAAATCTACAACTTTCACTCTGCCTTCTGGTGGAGTAGGATAAGGTGGTCCAATAGCATTTACCCTTCATACTTTTTTCACCATACATTTTCTACAGAAGATACAGTATGGTCTTAGGCGCCAATTTCAAAGTAAGCTTCATAAGTATTTTTTCAATTAAATAAAGATTTTGTCACCATATTAGTTACATGTTTTGTTTGATTGAATGCATTAATTATAAGATCAAAAGGACGAAAAGAAGGATTTCACTGGATTTCTTTTTATCGTTTGAGGCAAAACAGCCGTGTAATCCTGCTGATCTGCTCTTTGCAAACACATCTTAGATATTTGCACTGAAACCGTTAAACCAATGAATAAAACCTGACTGCCTTTCCTGAGCTTCTCTCCGTTTACCCCTATCAGCAGTTTCACAATTACCCAAACATAATTAGAGAAAATTACTTCTAAAGGTTATTTTATAATGTTATTAGGCAGGCGAGGCGGCTGTTTCAGTGCTCAAAAATACCCACTAGAAATTGATATCGGAGAGTACATGGAACGCTAATATGGGATTTTAAGAGACGTCCCAGGTTTGAGTCAGCATTACGCACCTCGCAGGGATTTGGCTCCGTAATACATCCACAAGAGACAGAAAATGCAGCAATGTTGTGTTCACACTGGCAGAGGGAGAGAGGGAGGGGGCGAGACAAGCAAGGCATTAAGGGGAATAGAAAAGCTTGGGTGAGCAATATCCCCTAAAGCAATCCTCCCAATGGTTACTGCAGTGCTCTGTTTGTAAACATGATCGCTCCAAGAATTCCCAAAGAATTCCCAAGTTTATTTTAATTTCACAGTTGCTCATCATGATCATCTACTGTGAGAGAAATGGATTAGGGCTCAAACGTAAAAAAAGAAAAAAAAGGAAGGAAACAGGAAACTAGTGAAGCTCAAAAGAAGGCACATTTTTAACATGGGCACGTATTGTTCTTTTTATTCATTCTTGGAGCCAAAGGTCATGTGCCTAATGTAAGCGATTCCAGCCACAGATACAGGAATAAAATATCTGTTGTTTCCCCACAGAGATCTTTTTGGGATTGACTTTGGCTGGCTTTCTGTCCAGCAGTTATCAGCCAAAAAACCCTGCTTTCCAAAGGGTATAATTTCCTGATAGAGGGCCAAGGTCATCCAGCATTCATATAACTGTAGTTTAAGTGTAACTTTTGTTCTTTTTCATCCTTCCTAATTGCCAGAGGGTGTGCTCTAAGCTCCGGATGACACATGCCATAAACGGCCAATCTGGTATAGATACTACAGGACAGAAAGCAGTATCTGACGGGAGCGTGTCCCCAGACTGTCAAAATCCCATCTGCAGCAAGACTAATTAACAGAAAAAGCCTGCAGTTCTCTAACATGCTTACCACAAGCCATAGCCACAAGGAAAATAGCAAGATCCACCCCATCCAGAAGCTCGAATGGAGACGCATGCAACGCCTCCAGCACGAACAACAGATCTCAGGACGGAGCCATAGCATACACAGCATACACAACACTGGGGTGTGGTGTATTGGCCAGTAATCCAATTGCTCCTGGGTAAAGTATTTGACCGTCGGCAGTCTGACATCATCTTCAGACCCCCCAGGATTTGAAGACTCAAGATCGTCGCCTCCTCTGATCTGACAGATCTGGGAAAAGCCTGTATAACACCTTACATCTGAATCTGGTTGGCCTGTGCCGTGCACTTTAACGCCTCAAGCGCTGCTGGAATAAAGAGTTTTCCTGGGACCTGTGAGGGTCCTTTTCTAAAGTTTTGTCAGAGGAGACTGGGCCAACCATATATGACTGTGTGCCTGTCCCCAGTCTCGCAATGGATTTGTATGACAAAAGAATGTAAGAACGAATCCACCCGTCCTTGGATTGGAAAATCAATCGCTGACCTCACATGTGATAGCTCAGAAACTTGTTGGTATGTGTCATCCAGTGCCATCCATCTATTTGGCACCTCATCAAGAAATGATGTCCTTTGGGTTACATTTTGACCAAGAAATATGCTTTTATCACGTACAGTATCCATAAGGTATAGGCCGTTACCTGCTGGAGTACAGCAGCCTTCTTCTCTCTTAGAGCAGGCTGTGCTGTGACACCTCTGATTTCTCTTTCAGGTCATTAAAACCATATTTCAGACTTCAAGTTGCACAGTTGTGTTGTCTTTTGAGTATTTTAGGGCTCTGTCAAACTCCATTGGCTTACAGAGAGATTTCACTCTCTTGCAATATTGGGAGCAGCCTTTTGCCTCCGGGATGACCACCTGTTTTATCAGCATGTGTGTCACAGGCTCGAGTGGAGCACTCAATAGTGGTCTCAGTACAACTGTGAATGACCTAAATGTGAATAAACATACATTATAAAACAAATTATGTATCATAAAAGGCTCAAAAGTGCAACACTTTCTGTGAACCTGAAGAAAAAACAAATAGCTATGTAATACTTTAAAAAAATGTATTTCCAATGCTATGTTTGATTATTGTATTTGGTCTAAAAAGATTTTTTCAGGCTATAAGCAGCAGTGGATGGACAGGGATAGTTCTAGAGTAACATTCTGTATGTATTCATATAACATTTTTTATCAAGGCTCTTCAGCTCACGCAAATTTATGACCTCAAAATGTATATAAAATCATACTTGAGATAAACTTTTGAAATGTCGTCATATTTATTGATCTTTCGTATTTATTTGAGAGTTTTATTCATTAGTTATAATAGTCCATGGCTCCTTCTGTTGCACATTTTACAAATCTACTGGGGAAATAAGGAGACATTTTACTCTCAAAACCGTATATCCCACCTACTGTTGGCCTATAAAGCTTTGCCTTAAATGCCATGACAGCTGACAAGATTTAACGGCAGAATATATTGACTATTGGCTAAAACTAACCACAACAGTGCTAGAATTTCAACTTTATAAGATTATATCAGCATGTTTTCTTTTAATATAAAACAGTTTTTATCAATCAGGCTTCAAAATGAAAATGTTACATAGCTTCATACATATATAAGCCTGTATATGTAGGCCACTAAATGTGTACATATAAATAGATAGATACTTTATTGATCCCCGTAGGAGAAATTCAGGTGTCCAGTGGCAGCAAAAATGAAAGATAAAATGTATCCTTCTAAAAAGATAACAATAGTAGTAATCAGCAACAGCCTATCAGGTCACAGCAGCACAGGTGGAGTAGCCACTGGGTGGAGCAGGACAGGTCAGAGCAGCAGAGGTGGAGTTGCCACTGGGTGGAGCAGGACAGGTCAAAAGGTGGAGTAGCCGCTTGGTTCGGACCATTTTCTCTGCTCTAGTCCAAAGTAGCATTAGCATTTTTCAAAAAGTCAGCATTCCTCCAGTGGATTTTCGGCTGATCCGCTTGGTTCTTATATCTCTAACTTAATAGTATCTCTAATAGTAAGCGATTACAGGAGAGCAGTTTAAGACTGTATCCAATGAAACCAAATATTTACAAGGTCAGCCTATTCATCTAAAGGTGTATTCACTACAACACGGGCCTCTCTAGGTAGGGCTCTTGCTGACATAGATCTATTAAATGTATTGCTTGTGTCCCATTGGCCCGTGTCTCAGTGATGGAGTGTGATGCGATTCGGCTATGATCTTGTTGGCTGCCCTGACCCCATTCACGTCAAACTATATCCCCTTTATGGGTTATTGGCTTTACCACGTGACCCCCCCCCCATATTTTACCAAGCAGATCTATGCACGAGTGAAGAATCGCGCTGCCGTTTTCCTTCCAACCAGCGCCCTCATTTCTTAACGTCACCTGGGCCCCTGACACTGGGGGTATTGGACTTTGACAGCA